TCTAAATGTTCAGTTGTGTTATGCTTTAAATTTTATTAAAGAGCAAACTAATAAATTTGTTTATTAGTATGTAACGGCTTTGTCATATTGTTTATTCTTCCGGTTCGTTGGTGTTTTTCTTTATTTTCGTTTCGTTCTCACAGTCTACAGTTAATTTTTTCTATTTGTAAGTTCAAAGTGAATGAAAATACGATATGATGTATATAAACTGAAATTAAAACGCTTTCAATTTTATATCGGATTCATAAATATTTATTTTTGTTTCCTCACATTGTCATCAGACTAGATTTCTGATTTTGACAATGAGTTGTTAAGTCTAATTCAAAGTTGGTTAAAGTGAATTTATACAGTGTAAAGTAGAATATAAGAGGTGTGGATTGGAAAGATTCATTTTTCTTCTTTTTTCTTAATTTGTTATTATTCATATTTTATTGTTCAATGTCATGGGAATTCTTAATAACCCAAATTTAAGTGATAGAAGATACAACTAATGTAACTGGAAAATTTAGAGTAATAAAATGTTTAGAACTGTATACTATCTAAATATCTCATGTGTAGTAACAATTATCAATAAAGCATTTGGACTATAAATTAGTTTTATTATAATCATCGTTTTTATTTAGGTTTTCCAATTTTCTCGAAAAGATTTCTAAGACGTAGTGTAATTTCACTAGCTATTCATTTCTGTAATGTAACCTATTAAATATGTTAGAAGTGTATTAATTAGAGTTTTGAGTAACACTTTTGATGTCAGAACTATTGATAACATAAGTACTTAAGCCATCGTACGAAAGTGGGGTTCTAATTTCAAGTGTAATAATTGAAAACCAAGTTATTTAACTACATTAAATGGTGTACCCTCGTGTAGATACATAAATATGTATTTGACTAGTCTCTGTTCTTTATTTGAAACATATTTCTTTATTAGGACCTTATGTACTTGGTTGTATTTTATGAGGATGTCTTAATTCTGGAACAGATTTTTTGGGTGAATTCATCCATCAATTTAGTCTGTATAGATCGAATACAATTTAACAGTAGGCTATCAAAGTATATTACATAATTCATGCCAGTTTACAGACATGATCATTTTGACATAAATAATAACATTAAATGTAGAAAACAAACGTGATATAAGATTGTTTTAAGTTTACTAGTTCAAGAATTGTTTATTTAGTACATTTATGACATGTTTCACAGCAATGAAATGCATCGGCCGGGAACTTTTAACTCCTCTTAAGTGGACATCCTATTGATTTATGAACGGTGCATTTAAGCTCATTTCTTGCGCCATAACGAATTAATTATAATAATCTACAACTAGGGAAAGTAAAATGGAAGCAGTGAGCATGGAACAACAAGGCAATAATTACTAAAATGTTTCAGTCATGTTTACCATAACGTATGTGTCATGTGACTCGGTGATATACTGTTCATGTTAGATATTATTCAAATTAGTTAGGGTTGCCAGGAACGGTGTTAACGTAAAGTAACAGCAGGTAGGTGATTTTACTTAGGGAATTCAGTAATACGAATGGCTAAACATTTAAAATTCCTATACTCTCACTTGTGAAGTATGTTACGCTTAGAAGTACTAGAACATTTAATGCATTTTCAAAGGAGCAGTATGCATCATTGCAGCGAACAAAGGGTAGGAGTGATTTTAGCTTACGGCTAGATTGTGTTAGATTATTCTAGAGTTTGGAAGATCTGCAGGTAAAGTAATTCATATAGAGAGATGATTTATAATGGGTTCGCTTCATTAAAGAAAGGGAATTATGATTAGTAGTATACTTTCGGTGTTTCAAGTTTCCATTGTTCCATTTGTCTCTGTTTTTTGCATTTATGGTTATCAAAAACATAAATGTTAATCTTATTTGTCTCTGTTTACTCCCATTGATCCTGATAAGTTTCGTAACCTAATAATAACTAATTATTATCCAAATATGTACTTGATTAACACACGTGTCAATTACATAATACACTCATTATATCTTCAATCTCTTAGTTCAGATACAGGTGATCATGTTCATTCGGTTTACTTAGTGTTTTCAATGAGGATATTAGGTGTTGAGTGAGTTAGAGAGGACTGGAGCTATTTATAATCCGGCCAGACATCGGGACTATTATGTAATTCACCTTGGTAGTACATGTCTTCGTGTTGTGTTATTGTTTAATATGCAATTGAAGAAAGACTATTATTTCAGATTAAATGGTTTATATTATGACTACACTGCGTAAGTAGTACCAATACTGAATGTAAAATCCTAGTTTAAGTAAATGAAGCATATTTTGTCCTAAGCATGTAGTAATTGAAATACTAAGATGTGTTTTGCACATTTTAAATTACTATTTTTATTCGCACTAGATATGGGACAAGAATAGTTGTTCATCCTCGTCGGTGTTAAAATATTTCCACTCTTCCAACACATACGCATTCTTTGTCTACAACTCTAAGTACATTCTTGTTTTTCAAAAAAAATCTTTGTATCTTTAACACTGATATATCAGACTTAGATCATCTAAAAAGGGAATCATTGGACATCCTGTCATAGTCATGATATTGACGTAATCTGAGTTATTTTTTAATAAATCCGTTCATTAGACGCTAGAGTAAGTCTCAGATGTTACTTTATGTATGGAGAAATTCACTAATTCCTTTGTTGTGTCATATATACAAATCTGTCATTTGACGTTATCTAATATCGTTTATAGTTTTAGATATATATACCTGAGTAGAGTTATACTTGTTTGTTGCAATGAGTTATATTTTTTTAGTGAGTGTTTTCATTTTTCTACTTAGTACTCCCGAAAATACATATGATTTGTAACAAATATATACGTAAAACATAAATGTTATGATTTTTCAGCCATAAATATTGTGGAATTTAGTGAAGGATTAACTGATGACGTAAACTGACCATTTTTTAGTGTTCAGATTTTATCAGTCTAATATCCTCATTGCTTTCCTGTAAATCTCTCATTTGTGTTGTATAAGATAGCTGATAAGCAACTAACATTTTCAGCTTAATGTTCAAGTTTTAACCTTATTAGATTATATACTAATCCCAACAGGGAAGTTAAGTAGGTGATTTGACTTTCCATGGTTAGCTAGACGTCAGTCGTAAGCCGTAAGTGAGTAGTCAACCTATAAACGACGAACGCAAAGCCTTTTTAAAATACAATAGTAACATCCAGTGTTGGTCGTTTTCTTCGTTTTATTAAGTTGTTGTTAATTAAGTCTTTGAGTAGGTACCGGTCTTGTTCTTTACTAATTACTATTTCACTGAAATATATCTTAGCTGCTTATTAATTTAGTTTCTGTTGGGCAAGACTATAATTTATGGACGAATAAATCAGATTTAAGATTACCAGGTCTTGAATTTTGGCGCGAACTCTATTCATTTATTTGGCTAAATATAGTTATGGCATTTTAGCATATATCATTTCTTGATGAAAATCATAAATCTAATTTATAACCCTAACCACCAATTGTAAATCATAATCTTTATTCTTCACACAGGTATATAACTCTCATTTAGCTTTAGTAAGTTGGTGGACATTCTTAAGGTCACTTTAGCTCCGCTAAATGATCGTCCATAAATTATAGTCTCACCGATCCTGTTGCCAGATTTCGTTTCAAGAGAAGTAGATAAGGTAAAAGTATACTATTTTGGGGACCTTGGGCGACTTGTCAACCAATCAGGAAACTCGTTCTAGTTGTAGAGCTATTAACAAGATAAGGCTATAAAATAACAGTAGAATAATGGCTTAGATTTGAATAATTAGCCTTCGCATGTCAAATTGTCTTTTATAGTAACGGAAAAAGGTCAAATGCACTTATTAGGAGCCTGGTTAGTGTTGCGTGTTAAGGTTATTACCTCATGGAGTTCCCGTCATTAACTGACACAAGTTATAATGTAAGAAGACTAGGATTAAATATTTAGAGTTACGCTGCAGTTTATAGTTAAGTTTACAAATTTGGGTTAGGGTTTTCATCACGAACTAACATCAGCTATAACATAATGATTTCTCACCCTTATTTTTTACGAACTTAAGAAACTTAGTGTTGAGATTTAGAGTAAGTGTTATAAAAGGGGAATATTATATAGCTTCACTAAACACTTAACTGCGCGTTGAATCACATCAAGAACTTTAGCACACAATCTGGCTTAGGAACAAGTATGTCTTGTAACTTTGTACCATCTTAACTTCACTTTTTGGTTGCATACCGGATATTTTCATTAATTGCCAGTATTGTAATAATTTATTATTGCCATTTTTCACTTAGTTGATAAGAACATACAAGTTATCTATCATTGTACTTTAAATTTCGCGTAAAATACGTGAAGGGTTATCTTCTGATTTGTTAACTCAAGGCTATCAGTATACTGTACTTTTACCAGAGACAACTGAATTCAGTATTTAATTAACTGTGTTTTTGTTTTCTCACTATATACTCAACAATAATCAATGTTAATTAGGCTTTTATATGCGTGGGAAATATTTCCCAATAAGTAGATGAAAATTGGTTATACCTTCATGCTATGATGTACGTTATCTATCACTAGAATGAACTTTTAAAGGGACCAGTGAAAAAAATTGTCGAGAATAACCGTAAATATATCTCAGAATCATTTTTACTGTTGGAATTTTCTTTGTTGATGATATTTATCTCCTGATGAATAAACTTTTATGATTATAACTTGTTTTACTTACTCAATGTGTTGCATCATTTGATGGCTTATGAAATTGATTTACTGTATGTGTTTACCACATGATTAGCTAAATAAATTGTTCTAATGAATCATTTATGTTATAACAGTTTAATCAGGTTAGTCTATACAATATGTCCAGTCATTTCATATTCTAGTTAGATGATTGAAGAAGTAACATTCTGTTAGTTCAGTTTAATTTCATAATTTTCGAAATAAATTCTACTTAGACTTTCATTTGTTCGTTATTATACAAGTTTCTTATTATATTATTTTTACAACTAGAATCGTGGAGGTCCTGGTGGTCTTGATATGAATGTTCAATCAGTTTGGGCACGTGGTTATGCAGGTCAAAGTGTCGTGGTTACTATTCTAGACGATGGTTTAGAAACAGATCATCCAGATTTAAAAGATAATTACGTAAGTTATATTCTTTCTTCTGAGACATTTTCTTGATTATACTTTTCTATTTTTTGAAATGAAAATATAAAGAACAATATCTTTTATGACACAATACTGTTTTGTTTTTGATGATGTAACTATAGCCTACATTGTCTTTTAATGTTTCTTAAATTGTAATAATAGGGAAAAAAATCATTGCTTATAGAAAATATTCTTAAACGTCTAATATTTCGTAACATGTCGTAGTGTTAGGTACTGATTTTCTAAACATTATTTCATTAAATCGTTTCTGTTTAAACTCACTGTTGATTGTTTGTTCCATTGTGATAAATAATTTCATGAATACTTAACTTAGTTATCTACGTCTCTGTTGGGATATTCAAGAAAATATCCCAAAAATTATCCTGTTAAGCCTAATGCTATCCTTGGACATGAAATGGTATCATCTTATTGGTCAATATTTATTTAACGTGTTATTTTCCTGTTGGCCATTATTGTACAATGTTATCTTCTATTTTATGGTACGTTGTGGACTGCTTGAATGGTATATAAACAAAGTATGTTTGAAATATAATGATTCATATATCCGAGGCTGTGACTTGCGTTCTGGACTCAATTGACTGGGCTAGACAGGGAAGCGAGACCAATCAGAACCCTAGGTTGTTCTACGTGTTTGCGCGTCTTTGGTCCGATCAATAATTCGCTATTTTCACAGTTATAACAGTCTCTAACAACCATGCTTTTAAATATATCTAGTTTCTAGCCTTCATTAGACAGTTTCTACTTCATTGAATTTCTTTATTTCAATTACTGAAGCTTTTTATTCATCAATATTTATATGAATTCGATACCCAAAATTATTTGCGTTTGCTTTTTTGCATAATAACTGACAATCATATGGATTTTTTCTCAATTTCAGACAGTAGTAATTACTTACTTTGTTCAAATAGTGTTTTAATTAAAAGGCTATGTGTTCTATGCGCAGTTTGGTTTTATTGTCAAAAAGCATTTCCTTTATAATTAAGGAAAGTCGGACCAATGACTGTGGATAATATCGTATACACTTCTCATATTATGATCGACTATATGCCTATAGTTGATTGGAGTTATGGATCTATTCAAAATCACTTCATATGATACACGGTCGAGTATAACTAATGGATATTAAGAATATTAGTTTCTGTATTTCTAGTTAAAAAAGTTTATATTCTCGACAAACCAACCATTAAAAACTCAACTGGCTTACTGAAATATAAACTGCTTCTTGATTTGATTTAAGTAGATTCAAGAAAATTCAGTTGAAGTATTATTCTAACTGTTGTATTTATATCTGACATTTAGTTATTATGTGTTTAATGATTTGTTAATTTATAGTCTTTAGAGATATAAGTTAATTTTAATGATTGATTCCTAAAACAAGACATTTAGATGTGGTGGAAAGAATTCTAAATATAACCTTTCAATTAATGTTTTAGCTACGAAACACCATACAGCGTGTTTAATTTGAGCGGTAATTTAGATTATAAGTAGTTTATTATTAGTATACTGAATACAGGTATTAGTAATAGTGATAATTGCTTCATTCAGTAACCTATATTTGATTACGATAAACAATCTTTAACATAAAATGTACAATATTGTATTGAGTTCCCATTTTATATTCATTTAATTTGTAATTTTAAAAAGAGATTTCTATAAAAGACGGTTTTCGACAATAATTGGCTGCTATTAATATTCATCCGTAAATGTTTACAGGTAATTCCGCTTCCATGATACCTCTTTTCTTCGCGTTATATATTTAGTACGTGAATTACATTGAAATTATCTTTAATTTCTCCAAAGGACAGATAAGAAGAAAAGTATATGAACCAATTTGATGGTTCCTTTTTAAGTTTTCAGCAATCGAACTTGAGATAATTTTAAAACATTTGATGATATTACGCAAGTACATGCAGTTATCATACTTAATTAGCCAGCTAAAACAAATATAAAACAGAAAATTCCGGCAATAAATCCATGTCGAAAAATAGGTGACACAGAAGTTTCAACAGACCGCTGGTGCATTAATCGTATGTCAGTTTAAGACAGGACCTTACCTTTGATCAATACAAAATCTCTCAAAAGTCTCCATAGCGTTTAACAAGTTAATTACTTTTACACATTGTTCTAACTTCATATTTTATTTAAAATGTCTGACGGCTAAAAAGTTGGCTTTTAGAATAACACCAAAACAACTGTGCTTCTATTTTAAAATCCATATCCATCCCTAAACTAGTGATCAAATTTCCACTCATTGTTCTCCTCAAACCTGTGGTCCAATAATATTAAGAATTGTAAAAATGATATAATCTGTTATCTTAGTAAGATAATAATTTGTTCAATGATTAACTTTTTACAGTAATATGCTCTAGTAATCAGTAGTTTAGTTTCAAGTGTAATTGCAGTTAGATATAATTTGCTGCTCGGACGAAAAATGTGTACGCCTAGACTTATTGAGCAATAAAGCTCAAACTTATTACTATTTTTAAATATTATTTGTCATACTTTCAAAATTTGTCTTTAGATATGATGAAAAATACCTGCAACATCCTAAGATCTCTGATCAGCTTTGATATTTTTTGTATTCACTTACATGTAGGTATTTTTAGGTAATCAAGTATTGGTCTACTTATTCTATTTGAACCACCTTATTTTGTTAAAGGGTTTAAGGAAGAATTTCAAACATTTCACTTCTATCCGACGTTTGTGCTGATGTTATTGTTCAGAGGAACAATGAAAGCTTCATAACCAAACCATTTAATTCAGAGAACAAAACTTCACCTAAACCTGTTTTTTTCTAACTTTGGATCTTAATCTTATTTCCTCATACTAGTTTATAATTCTCTTGTAACCCTAGTAATTGGTCAAATTTTTATAGGTCACTTTAACATTACTCAAAGGTCATTAATACATTATAATCTCGCCCAAAATTCAATTTTGTCTACATGATTTAAAAGTTGTATGGTTTGTTCAATAAGCCATTTCCACTTTCAATTTTATCGTAAAAGGTAAATAAAGAAGTAATTTCTAGTAATAACTATAAAGAATAAATTTATGAAGCATCACTTTTAAGTCCGTAAAATCATTAATTTACATTTATGGTTTGTCGTTTGTTTTGAAATGGAGAATTTCAAATAAAACATGAAAAAATATTTATGTAAGCTTAATTTTTATTTATACTAAAGTGATTTATTAGGTTGGTTAATATATGCGTATATTTAATTCTTTTTAGTGACATTAACATGTTTGTTGAGTTAGTTAACATTTTATGGAAATCCATTCAACCAATGTTTTGGTCTTTTTTTTGTTTTGTTTTTGGTTTTGAAACTAAATGTTTAAACTTATCAATTTGTTGTTTCTTCTTTTAACATTCCATCGAGAATTTTCTTTTATCATCCATGAACACACACACACACACACACTCATATCTGATAATGAATGATATTTAGGAATTTATGTGTAATACATGTTCTTGTGTCTGATGTAAAAGAGTTGAAATAAAATGGTGGGAATAATATTTTGAAAGTCATAGTTGATCATAACTACTTGACGAATCTTAATGATAATTAGTTTAATGGATTGAGGAATTGTTTTAAAATTAAGAATTTTGTCAATGCACTAGCTCAATACGATGAGATGAATTTATTAAATCAAGTGCTCGTTTATTTAATCGGTATTAAGTCATACTTTTTGTCTGAAGGCCCATGAAATTTTTGGCTTGACAAGTAGTTGTTGATACATTCAATTCAGTGTTTGATAGTGTTATATCCGAGTGAAGATTAAATCACGAGTAACTTTTGAGACATATTAATTGATCAATATTATCTATAAATTCTTATGGTATAACCATTCAATAATTAGATTATGTGTATTTATATTCCTCTTATTATAAGCTTTATTTTGACCTATAATTTATTATTATACGATTTACTGTTCTTAAGCTATGTTCAGTTTATTGACTATTGCCTCCCACGTTCACAGCCACATTTTGGCTTTATTGTGTACAAATGTTATTTCCTATTTTATGGTGCGTTGCGATCTGTTTGATTGATATATAAACCCAGTATGTCTGAAATAAATGACTCGGTTCGATTCGCATAGTGGAAGGCTGATATTGGTGTTCTGGACTCAAGTGGACGGGCTAGGCGGACGTAGGACCAATAAGGACACTAGGCTTCCCATACCGGTCGAAAGTCATTGGTTTGGTACAGTGCTAAGATTGTATAAGTCGTATTTTGATTGGTGGATAAATCACGTAATAAAAAGCCGGACATAAAGTCACAATAGATAGTCAAGTGCTATAAACACTAGGCCACCACTACTTATACGACTGGGAAGAGTTTTATAAAGTACAGAAATACTGGTAATCTCTCTCAGTTTATTTCGTTATCTTTCAAGAAAAAATCTAGATCTTCTGTAGACTGACTCTGAACTTTAACTCTACTTAATAACTATGTTACTGATTTAAATAACTAAGTCAGTGAATAATTAACATTATTAGCTTGAATTAAGTTATTGCCAATTTTTGTATACAAGTCATACCGTTGTTTCTTTTGGGTTCATATAGCTGTTTTAAAAACTGATCAATCGCTTATGTTGCACTATACCCCACTTTTTGTCTAATCCCCTTTGGACTATAAAATACTTGCTAATTTACAGCTTCTACTACATCTCAAATTCTCATCAACTGTGATCTAAGTAGTTTTGTAATACATACTATTATCTACATAACAAATTCATTGCTTTGTATATTTGCTTGCAAAAAAACTCAGTTCAGTTTCATTTCACTTATCATTTATTTATTAAAATCTCATTAAAATAGTTTAAGCAATATGTTGTGTAGTTACGGAATTAAACACTTTATTTAACATTATATAACAGTGTTTTTACAAATTATTTTGATGATAAACTCTATAACACTTTACTATAAAAGTTATTTAGAACTTTATTTAACATTTTTATTCTCTATAAAAAATTTTGTTGATTTATAACAATTTCTAGACCACTGAACCGGCATCCAACGATGTTAATGTCTAACTTCAACTAATCAACGAAATTGAGCCACCGTTCACTATTGTTTTCTGTGAAGCTAGAAATTAACACGGTTAAATGCCAAGTCAGTGGTTTAGGGGCTAAGCGTTCACACGCGAGACTGATAGGTCCTGGGTTTAAATCTTGCGGAGCTGGATCATAGATGCGCACTGGTGAGGAGTCCCATACTAAGATAAAACGACCGTCCAGTGCATCCAGGTTTTCCATGGTGGCCTAGCTTCGGTCGACTTATGAATTCAACTATAAAATGAATGAAATCTCCACAAAACCACTTCTGGTTATAACAATTTGTTGAAATTTCTCATTGAACAAAAAAGGTAGCCCCGATGATTTCAGCATTACTTCTAATATCTAGATCTGTACTCTTGAAAATAAATTCCATACATCCATTAAATTTTTCAAATCATTATTTAATCGAATAAAAAAGAGAAATGTTAACAAATTTATTTGACATTAGCTAAAGGCAAAATAGAATGACCCAGAATACAAGTTTGTTACTGACAATTAAGTTAATTTTCCAATAATTTATTATTGATAAATGAAGTGAAGGAAAAGCCAAATAGAAAAAAAAATAGAAGAAATCTTATGAACTTTGTTAAACATAAGAGAATTCAACTTCGTGACAAAAAAGAACCATTTTGTGAAAATTGTTCATTGAATTGTTAGATTCTGTATACATTTAAAGTTTAATTTAGTCAAAATATACTTTCATTTTAGTCTAATAATCCAACTGTTTCATTGATCATATTTGTTATTTTCTTTGTTTTTAAATACGAGAATATTTTTATTTTTCCCTCTTGTCAACTTACATTCTGTAAGTAGTATACAGACAGATACTTGAAATGAATTTATATAGTTTCTTACTTACGGTCATTTCATTTTACCTACTTCTAGTTACTGTTTAAGTGTTGTTATTTTCATAAGTCATTAAACATTTTAAGTCATCGCAAAATGAAACACTTCATCATTTATTATTTATTTTACAAAGTTAAAAAAGAGACGAATAAAATATCAAATGAGAATATTGTTTGTTCGATTGAACTTTTCATTTCTACATTTTTAATTATGTATTTGTTTTTCTTTTAAAACAAATCTTCAAATATACTTAAAGATAATTCATTAGCTACGATCATAGAATAAATTATGAACCCGACCGTTACTGCTACCTTGACGTGGTGATGATCGTGCTTGTCTATCGTGATGAACCAGTCGAGCTATACTGGTTGGATCAATCGTTCCTCAAGGTTTACCATGCCAGACAGGTCGATTGAAGAGGGCTAAGACTAAAAGCAACAAACCCGTGGTGTGACGGCGGTAAGGTATTTTCTTCAGACAACCAGTATAACAGCGATGTTGCAGCCACACAAGAAAGACTGGAGTTAGAAGAGATCCACCGTAAAATTGCACCCCACCTTATCCCACGGATTCCCGTCTCCAGTGGTGATGTGCTAACAAGTACGGAGCTAACATGAAGATTACTCACAAAAGGATCGTGTGTGCCCGGCCTCAATCAGTTGTTCCATGGGCACTGGGGTCACGCTCTCAGGTCACTAAGATCACCTCTGATTCAATTTCCTTTTCAGTTACCTCCTGACTGAATAGGTTATGAAATGTTGTTTGCTATTTGTTTTCCGCGGACACGTTTTCATTTCCTTGACTTAACCTTGATATTTCTGTTAAAAGACTTAAAGGACTACAATCTCTCTCCTCATGCTTGGACTGAATAACTGTCGAACACTATACGCTTTTCATTCATCTTTTGATTGATTTGAATAATCTTTAAGCTACTTCGTCTTTTCATAACTGTTATACATTTCATCATCTATTCGTGTCATAGTTTTTACTCTATTGATTCTTTCTATTATTATTATTATGATTTTTTCCGAGTTTAGGATCCATTTGCATCATATGATGTGAACAGTAATGATGATAATCCAGAACCTCGTTATTTAACAAGAGATAAAAGTAATACCAAGTAAGTCTGTTGTAAATTTATTTCTATATATTTAATGCAATCGTAATTCTAATAATTTCTATACAAATTTCTTTCTAAAAAGTTTGTGGATGTTGGAGATGACTTTGTTTAGAAAAATCTAGTATAATAAAACCATTTAAATTCTGGTTACAGTATAGTATATTGACACCCTTGAGTTAACTAATCAGAATTACGATGAAGCTTCGTGTATTTTGAACGATATTCAAAGTGCAGTGATAGATAACTTAGATGCTATTACAAGCGAATTAAATATTGGGAATGTTTCGTTCCTAAAATGTATGAAATCAACGGAAAGTGAATCTAAAATGGTGCTTAAACTAAATTACAAAACATGCCTGCTCCTAAAGCAGAATGTGTGGTAAAGTACTTGATGTGATTCAATACGTTTTCATGATTGCTTCGTTAGACTAGATAGTATTCCTCCACTCTACACCGTACTTTAAATTCCAATCACAAATTTCATAAGTGTGTAAAAAAAGTGACAAAAATTTGCATCATAGCTTATGTAAGTTCGTGATGAAAACCTTAACCTTTATTTGTAGATCCACCTCAGGACTCCATTTTAACTCCTAATATCTAAACCTAAGCTTTTTGTGTTGTCGCTAGTGATAGTCGCTGACATACAACAGTATCCCAACTATTAATCTGAAAGACTTAACCCTTTTGTTTTACTGCAAAAAAATAATTCCAAGTATGATGGTTAAATATTGAGTTATTATTCCACTGTTATAATATTAAGTTTTTACCACTAATTCTTTTGTAACAAGGTTCTGTTTCCTAATTGGCTGATAGATTCTTCAAGGTTATCAGTAGATTTTGCTTTTGCTCCAATTCTATAAAGACATATGTATATCATAATTATTTTTCTCGTTTATAGAAATTCTGTATTATACAGAGATAAAATAATCTAAGCTTTTTCATAGATGTTTATCTGTGTAGGTTGCTTGTAAAATTGACAAATAATTTGTGAGGTAAATCACAGAAAAAAATGATGGAATGAATATGATAACAACAACAATACTAGGAAAAAATTGAATGAGAAAGCTTGTAGGAGAAATAAGAATATAGTGTTAATAATTTAAAAGAAGGTAATATTTGTTTCAGTATCGATAATTTCTAGTTACCTAAACTATCTAATGATAATAAATCTCGAGATTAATTTTTCAAGCGTTAATAATATCTCTTTTACTTAACTAAAACTTATTGTCTATAATTCAGTAAACTTGGTAAGTGTATTTTGTTTGTCCGTTAATTACAGTCTATTTGATTAAAATAACAGAGTTGGCATAAATTTGTTGTATAGTTTATCTGCAGAAAAAATTATTGTCAGTAGTCATTGTTCGTTGTTTGTATAAAACATCTTCTTGGTTCTATTCGATTTATTATTAATGTTGAGTTGTTTTCAACTCAGGATAGCTATAATTAGCTTTCTCTTTTCTTTAAACTAATATTTTTCTGAATAAATTGTGTATGGTTTCACATTTAGTTAGAAGGTGATTTTTGTACTAGGGGAGCATACAGAATAACGTGAGCGAGGATAGATGAAAAAGGAAAAAGTGTGCCGACGACCTAGGTACCGCTTACTGTGCTTACATTTAATGAGGGAAGCAACAGACAACAGTCGGCAACAATACAAGTCTTAAATTACGACAATCTGAGAATTGAAACTAAAAGCATACAGTTTAAACCGCTTCACTCGTTACTGTTTGCCTTATTTTTAAATTAAAATATTGACTAAATTCAACGTATTTGTTGATGATTATTTTATTGTGCTATCATGCCTATTTATGTATGGATTACCTATTTTGCCTCAATCATTGATTATTCAATTTAAGCATCATGTAATATTAGTAATATCTGTTTAACAATGCTTGTGATATTTCAATCTTTAGTAAGCTTTTTGGTTACAATAATTCTGTCCGAATTTTATTCAAAGTGAAATGAAATGGTTGAAAATTTCTTAGAGTAACAAGCTATGAAATAAATAAGCGTCAGGAATATGTGAATTTTATGGTATACTTGTTGATAGTTCAGCTACGTTTTTGCTATAACTACATATTCTTTGAGTCCAAACCGAGAATTAATGGGAGATTCTTAAGTAAACTGGATCTAATACAACTGGATCAATGGGAGGATTAATACATGACAACAACTCCACGGATACAATCTCACACAAATATAAATGGTGGTGTCTGAATTTTTAGGAAAGCTTTAAGATTAGTCAATATTAGAAAAGTATGTAATATTTTACATCCTGTAATAACCAATAGGAATGAGTATATATTACCTGTCGGGGTCGCGTCACAGTGGTTTCAATATTAATGTGTGAAAGTGTATAAAAGTAACTGTTATTTTGGTGACTCCAGCGGGTTAGATTACTATTTATTTGCGTTAACTTAAACAATTTATTTTTAACAACTGATACACGTTCCATAAGATTGACCTCGAGTTCTCCTTGATTACAGTACTGAGTAGGGCAATGCATCCGAAGGTCTGTTGGTTTAAAAGTTTATTCTAAGAAAGGCTAAACTTTATTTTAAAATCATAACCTTTCTAAAATTTTGAAGTGTTGAATAAAATATTCTTACCGTTACTTTGTATTGACACCCGAGTCTCATTTTTACTCATTCCTTTTACCAGTTGTTTTCAATCCCATAATTTATAGCTAATGAACCGAATATATATATATATATATATATATATATAGAGAGAGAGTACCAATATTCGTTGTGTTGTGAAAATGTTTGCTCACCATTTTACTTGTCGTCACCACACTATTTCCATTTTCCTATGAAAACAATTTCTCTCTACCCATAGTTTGATGTTGCCATAAGTCTATTTATCGTAAAATATTCAAGCAATAAAATCAATGCAACATACTTTCTACCTACTTTTTTATTTCAGTTCAATGATTTTTTTCTTTCTAAATCGTTTTTATTTTGTATTCTCTTTATTTGCCTTTTTCGTTTACGATGACATTCATTTCTAATCATATAATATTATTTTTACAGGATTTTTGTTAGTATGTCATATACACTGATGATGATGGTAATCTGTGATAATGAAATTTAAATGTATTCCTATGTTTTCCAAATAAATAGTTTGGCTTTAAGAGAAATCCAATGTTTCATTAGTTCTTTAAACAAAGTTATCAGTTGGCCATATTTTAAGTTATGTCTTTTTTTCCAAAAAGAACCTTCATTTGTGGTCGAAATTATAATGTCAATATTTACACACTAAATTGACTTACTAAGTCTATTAGAATTTACGATCTTGTCTGATGGAATTATCTGGAATTTATGATTAAATATTTTAGGGCGGCTTATCAACTTACCCTCTTTGTCAATCTCAGTTGAATAGTCTATGGAAAGAAACTAATTCGTTTATATCTTATACACATTATTGGTACACATCGCCTATCTAAACTAACGTTAGTAATTTTTCAATACGTAATGAACGTATTATCGAATTGAATTTCATCATCACAACTGAATTATTTTATTCACTTTACATGTAGTGTTTGTTATGCATTAGGATTCATTCTTTTGGTGAAACCGGTATGTTAAATAACTGTAACCGGTGAATTTCAAGTATATCTAGAATAAGATGTATCTCACTGATCTTAACAAAATATTAACAATTGATTGATGCTAGAAATATGGAGTATTAGACTATGAATTGTACATTTGAAGTTATCATAGATGCAGAGGACCTGAAGATCTTCAACCTAACCTTGTGTATTGAATCTGTCAGTGCATTTTTTCTATGAAGTTCCTAATCGGAGCGGTCAACTTATCTATCAGTATACTGGTAATTGTAATATTCTCAGCAGTGGCAAAATCGCAGTCATAATTTTTACGATGTGGCTGCCATGATATCTGGGCATTACAGTGTAAAATAATTGATGGGTATCAGTAAAGAACCCTGAATTATTTTCTGTTCATCAATATTTTCTATGCTCAACCTCCAAAAGTCAAGCTTTTTTAATACAGAGATCTGGATCACCCACTACACCAGTTATGAACATTACTAGGTGATTATTCACTATGCGGTCAATATTTTTTATAAATTGATCATTTGCACTATCTAATCACTTTAAAATTTTATTTTGATCGAGTACCCGATGCTGATTGAATTTAATTGTATATTTAAGTAAAAGAAATTTACGATATCACTTTTTCCCATCGGATCGTTGGGGAAATCCTAAGAATATCCCTCTTTACACTTCCTAGAGGCCCAGAAATTCCGAGAAACGTTTTATCCAATCGGCATTGAGTCGAATCTTTGCGTGAACATTTAAAGAATGTAGAGTCACGTGCCACAGTTTTTATTGGATATTTATTCGTACTGATACTATATTTAGTATGGTTCCAGAAGATTAAGGTCATGTGTAACTGCATAAATACCATCGTTTATCTGTACATAAAAGCGTTCTCTCCGCACATCGAACCTTTTCTCTTGTGTTCAACTTGCCATTATGATTAAACCTGGATTTGCTAGAAGCAGCTAGGAAATCGAATCGAGCGTTCATTTAGCAAACATCGCGGATAAAGTCCTCTCTAATGAATATCTAATGCCGATGAAGTCTGAATCCAGACCTTTTATATCTACATTGAATAATTTTAGTGATTTCCCTTTGATTTCCTCTCCCTTTGACCATTGTATTAAACAATTAACAGATATTACACAAAAATTTCCCAACTTTTAATCACTCATACTGATAAAGAATTATAAACGAGTCAACACGTAAAAAACAAAATTGTGAATTCTTTTAAAATCTAAATTAAAATGATGTCCATTATTATAGGATATAATAGTTCTAAAAGATACTTGTTTATTCCACTACTTACGCATGGTTTTCAACAAAACGTGTTAGACATACACTTAATAGAAAATAAGGAAAAATCTAAAGACCAGAGAAGTGTGTAGAAGTAAATAAATACTATGTATCGATGATGACGCACAAAGAAATGACCTTGGTTCTTTTCCATCAAATTTGTTTCTGTATAAATTTCTCCTTAAAATGCAGTATTTTTCGAATTAGTTTTTCTGTGCTACATGTTTGTTTATTTACATCCAGTGTGAACACAGAGAATGTCATGTTCAAACAACTGCTTATTCTTTTTTTTTTAAAACTTATGTGTAAAATTGCATTTCATTACTATTGGTATTATTATTTCAACTCGCTTAATAAAGTGGACTAAGTACTGTCCGGTTCTAGAGTGTTTATGACTAGCTGACTGACCTCATTTGAAGTCATCTCGTCAAGGAAACGTATGCAATGTCTAAGTGACCTATCATAATTATCGAAAACTATCTAATCTCAATTTTGCATTTTACTACTACTTTTAATATAAACTGGAAGTCTTTGATTAAATTAATGATTTACTGTTTAATTTGTTACTTGTTGAGTCAGCATTTCAATTCCTCTGAGTTGTTTATTCAACTACCTTAGAAGTCATCAATTTTCGTCATAAAGTATAATTGATTTTAATTCAATGTAGATACTTGGTGGTTGGGCTTTTTTCTAGTTAGAGATTTATTTTTTTTACATATTCAATCAGTTTGAATATTAACTGCGCGTATAACTAATGATAGATGGGTTAGTATGAAGAATGAAACATAATGTATCTAACAATTAAGATAAATCTCTGTTGTGTATAAGCGAACAATGTAATTTTGACCAGTCTCTACTCTAATATATTATAATGTTTATATGAAAATATTAAACTAATCAAGCCAGTTTATGAGTCAGCGATAACGGTCGAATAGATTACATAAATAAACAATAAGTAAAAAGTACAAATTAATAGTGTGAGGAAAAGTGTACTAATTGTGATAAGAATAATAAATGTTTTATAGTAGTAAGTAGGTCAAGGACTTGAAAACTATAGACACTGAAACAACATTCATTAGAAATTATAATCTTACGTAATAAGTGAGGTATATGTTGGAGGTAGTAGACAAAATACCATAGACTTAGGTTTCGTGTTGTTTTACACTCGTCAGCAAGGTGTACCTGTACCTGCACTATGAAGGACTTGACAAACATGACATTGGTCAATTCCCAGTAATCAGTCATTTTAAAATACATCTCAGTCCTACAAAAGATCAGTCGTGGCCTGGATAGCTCAGTTGCAACTTCTTTAACTGTGATGCTCTTTGACACGAGATCGAATCCGTTAGAGAGCATTGATCCCCTCAAGATTACAGGTACACCTTCCAGACAATTGCTATATAGCACGAAACCTAGGTTTAGGGATTCCTGTCGACTTCCTCCGATCACCACCTTACATCTCAACATAATGCACGCGATGTCGGGTCACTCAGACTAGTGACTACATTGCAGCTTTATCGATAGGATACATTCGGTCTGCAGTATGAAGGACCTAATGCACGTGACATTGGTCACTAACACATTAGCTCAATTGTTTGGCTGTGCGCCCGATAGAGGTTTCTCTGCAGAAGCATCTGAATTCATAGATGCACGTGGATATGGAATAGCCGGCTAACTCAGCTTTTATCCGAAGAGTAACTGCAAGTTGGCTAGAAAACAAGCGATTGATGTTAGGTGCACAAGACCCCTTTTTTTGCTGTTTTATTCTATCTTGTAGCGCCTTCAGCTAGGTGAGTCCATTAAAACCAATGTGGTTAGCATCCAATAACGAAGACGTACAGAGCTATTTATTTTGGGGATTTATTTACCGCTACAACATCAAGTCAAAATAAATAGTGAATTTCCAAAGTCAAGCTTAATTTTAGATATATATTTTACCCCGCTATTTTCAATCGACTTTTTGTTACATTTCGTAATTAGTTTCGTTTTGCATTATCTGATCCTTGCAATATCAACATAAAAATATACACGTGTATGCAGATAAATGTTTTTTAATACACATTAACTTCGTGTTATTGCTTTGTTCTCGTTTAATACTCTGTTTATATTTCATTACATTTTACAGCTGTTTTATGTAACATTTATTGTTACCTATACATATAACGTGTCTTGTGATTTAATTAACAAATGTATTTATCTACGTGTTTTCATGATGAGAGCATTGCAACAATAGAGAAAAGTTACATAGTTTTAAACATGAATTATTAATTAGCCAATTCACATTTAACATACAGATCACTTCAGTTTATGTAACTTATTTTCATTTTAATATTGGAACAACGACTATGTCAAATTGTCTGACTATTTGAAATATTGAAATTTATTAGTTTATGTTTAATTAAACTAGAAGATGACTATATATGAAGATGATTTGTGAAATGTTATCTTCAAAAGTTTACAATGATAATATATTTATTGCATTTAATCATTTTTAAAGAGTTGATTGAGTAATCATACCTTAATACTATACGTTTACATTGAATGGTGAATATGATTGTAAGTATATCAATTGAATTGGAAATATGTATTTTGTCAAAGATATGTAAACGAAGCAGTTGAATTACAATAGAATTTACATATACTAGTTCAAATTAATAGATTTGTGAATTTTCAATCAAAAATGCATTTTTATTAGTAAGGCATAACTGTAGGATTGTTTGGAAATGTTGAGATGATAAATCGTCATTTGTAATATACTGTGAAAGTTCTTAAATTTTATAATCGGTTTCTATTGTTTCATCTACCATATACTTTGTTTAAAGTAAAGAAACATACTGTTACGATTTTCTATCGGTTGCCTTCAGGAATTTAGCAAATAATAGTTTGTGGAAAACTGTTTAGAAACAATGTATAGCGCTGGCTCTACTTAACTAGTCTTTATTTCTTAAGTTCGAAACTAGCTGCTCACCCCCAAGGAGCTACAAGCAGTGATGAAATAGCTTTTCGATACTCTTTGAGTTTTCAGTTAGTGAACTAAGGTTATTGTGTGGTGTGAACTATACTTGGGTTGAACAATCTTCACGATGATGTTTACTCATTTAGAGCCTTTTGTCGAATAACTTAAGTTTATCCCTATATAATTTTATTAATATATCCGTATGTTTACAAATAATGTTATTGATTTGTTTTATAAAGGTCACTTGTGTGGTAGTTCTTTATGTATTTATGTATATACGGTGTACATTAAATTACAAGCATCAACTTTTTCGACTGAATATAATATGGAGAATTATACTGTCCCAGTCTGAAATATAAGGTCTATTTAGAGTAAAATTAACATTTTTATAAGGTGGTGGTCTTCATCACGTACAAAATAACATACTTGATTGATTCAGACACTACTGACTTATTTAGGTTTGTTTGAATTTATACGTTAAGAAATGTAATAGCTACTTTCAACGCAATTTATGCTTCATGCTTCATATTGTTCATGTCTGAAAGGCGAAAAAACTTGAGATTACGTCCACAAATAAAATTTGCCACATCATATACTAGAATTCTTTTTTTTCGTTTTGTATGCTTGTAATTAGTTCGAAAACTATCCATTAATCTTTCTCAACTTTGGAGCTAAAATTCATAGGCGAATAATCAAATGTTTTCACTGATTTTGTTTGTTTGTTTTATTTTCGTCTTGAACTATAACCATTATGCTTAGTTAATGTTACATATTTCTAATGCACGCCGCGGATAAACGTTTATACAGGTGCAATTCAGTGTTTACAGTAATTAAAATATAACAAACCACTATTTTAGTAATTCGAGATTATGAAATAAAACATGAAATTGATCTAATACTGCTTTCATTTTCGTTATTGTCTCAAAATAACTCATGCACAGGAGACTTAACAGATTACCAAAGGAGTATCAGAAGTTTCAGATAAATCATAGTCTTTTTGGCGCTTTTTTGTCACTCTTTCCTCTCAACATTAAGCATGTAATCTTCATTTCACTTCGCAAGCCAGTATAAGTTAGTCTTTTCTATCTATGGTGAAATTTATCGTACACTAATGAATCGATTTCTGAGATAACTGTAAAAATGTTGCATATTTTGTTGTTACCTTCATATGATGAAATGTATCTCTGTGATTTGAAATAAGTTGTATTGTGCCTAATCAGTAATCAATCTGCGTACAGTCAACAACACTAAATAATCTTTTATACTGATAATGTTGTTTAGATAGTCACCTTTCTTTTAGATATTTGTTTATCACCTGTTTTCATTTTTCCAATAGCTTTTAACGGTTTATTGATATGTTCCACTGACTATAAAAATAATTGAAGCATGCATATTAACTATTTGATACATCTTTTTCGAAACGTAAAGACGATTAACACAGATTAAGAGTATGGATTGGACGTAGATTATGTGAATCATTCTTTTTTTCCAAGTTGAGTTGCTTGATTTATGAATGGAGAAAATTTTAAAGTAAATGAAAGATTCTAAATAAAATTTTTCTTGACCAATAGCATTTTTTCTACTTCGAGTAATAGTAAATTAATGTCTAGCATTTTTTCGTTAAACAAAGAGGGAAAGTCTCAATCAGTTGATCGAACTTTTCATCTGACTATAATCCAACTGTAGAATTTTCTTTTTTCGATCACATAGGCAAAAAGAAATACCATTGTAATTGTTGCTCGTATTTCCTTATTGAATAACAAACAAGTCAAATAAACACTTCTTACATAATCAGTCTTTCTTATTTTCTATTACTTCAGCCGTCATGGTACTCGTTGCGCTGGTGAAGTGGCTGCTGCCGCAAATAATAGTGTATGTGGATTAGGTATAGCTTATAAAGCTCGTATAGGTGGCGTACGTATGTTAGATGGTGATGTGACCGACGCAATGGAGTCACGTTCATTAAGTCATCAGCTACAACATATTGATGTATATTCTGCATCATGGGGTCCGGAAGATGACGGTAAAACAGTTGATGGTCCAGGCAAACTTGCTCAAATGGCATTTCGTAATGGAATACAAATGGTAAGTAGTTTGAATGCTGTTTTGTTTTTAATTTGTAAATAACTGCTTACTCAGTTAGATTAAACACTACACATTTCCACTAGTTTTTTTTTAGAAAACATTAGATCATAGTCAACATTATCATTATTTTTTGAAGATAACATACTGTCGGAAGTTTTCTATTCTTAATACATATCAAAGCTATTTAGTTTTTTTTGTTCTGTCCATCTCTAGTAGCTGCATATTAGTAATGTTTGTTGTGGATTTTGCAGTTAACACTATGGAACATGATCAATATATTTTAACGATTACATGGACTCTTACAATACCACTTTTATATTGTCTTATTCTATCGATTATTTATCCAAATACCAATATATAATTACATGATTAGTGAAATTATGACAACGGTTTCATACTTCGGAGGTATCGATTTGAGGTTATCGATTGGTCATATGCGTAAAAATATTAAGTGAGAAATGACACGATGAAATCAGTTATATTAATGTTCAGTATCCTACAGATTTAATGGACATATCAATTATAAGAACATTCTGTAAAGATCAATGTAATGGTATATGAAGTTTGTTAAAATCAACAAGTAGTATATATGTATATGTATAAACTTAAGTGCCTTTCTTAAAAGTTAAAACTAAAACAATACATGATTATTTCGTACCGTTCAGTTCTGTAGCACTTAAAAATGAAATACATCTTTTTTTGTTCAGGATCCATCAACCTTTTGGTTATTGAATGATTTTGATATTTAGAAATTAATTAGACACTGATATAAATTACCATTTATTACTGCTTCTGAAATAGACCTACAACTCATCCGATTTTGACCAATCATGCATAGATCGTTTTGTTTACTGTTAATATCTTTACAGGCATTTGAAATTTCACAAGATTACTTCAGACTATTATTCTTCATACTAGTTTTAACCCAACTCATCAGATTGGTTACCTCATTACTTAATGGATTACAATATTTCGTGTTAGTGTATCTAAAAATCAACAATAAATTTTAGAGTTTTTTATTGATTATCAATAAAAATATGATATCTATTTTTGAGATCTTATTTCCCAAATAATTGAGTTCCATAAAGCGATGAAATATCTAGAATATACATTTATTTCGTCTAAATTATTTGTTGTCAACTGTTTTTAAGTATGTATTGAATTAACTTTTTATGTTTACAGGGTCGACGTGGTTTGGGATCAATTTTTGTATGGGCCAGTGGGAATGGTGGTACAAGTCATGATAACTGCAATTGTGATGGGTATACAAATAGCATTTATACACTAGGTGTTGGATCAGTTTCAGAGCATGGATCTGTTCCGTGGTATGCAGAATTATGCTCTTCAACGTTAGCTGTTACCTATAGCAGTGGAGGACGTGGTGAACGTGGTGTTGTAAGTTTCCATGATCATAATCATTTTCATTTGAGAAAAACGCTTAGCTTCAATTTGATATTATGTAATTCGTTTGTTTTTTAATTGTAACTTTTTAAATGACACAATCCACTAACATTTGATGTAGTCTGTTTTACTGAATCATCTATTCATGTTTGTCGTTCAGTCATTGATTACGACAATTAGAATTGTACAGAAGATCATGGTAAAATTTATGTTTTCAAGCAAACGAATAGTGTTTACAACTCGTATAGGATCAAAACAATCTTAATAATATAAGAGTGAGAGTAAACGTTTGACATAATGAACAATCTATTTATTTATGAATTCATGTTCTTGCAGTTTTAATGTGTTTTATGATGAGAAAGGTTTGCTACGTCATTCATTTAGTTAGTTCTCATTTAATCTATGTTGAGTTGTATGAAAGTTCTAATTTCGATATCAGTACCTTTAAGTGTATGGAAAGTGTTTTAAAGCCTATAATTTAATATTATAATTTGTTAACTTTAGCGTTGAATGTTCTTTGAAGGTACTTTTCAATTTGATAAGTAAGAAATAAAAAGAAAATGCCGAAAAACTGTTCCCTCTTGGTTTCATCTATTCCGTTTTAACGAAACATTGTAACATGTGCAGGAAATACAGTCAAGATTAAGATAAAATAATCACTTTTAATTGAAGGGTGGTTTCACTATGGGATTAATGGTCTGTTTAAAGTAGATTGTCGTCAGGACTGACATCCAGTATTCACATTTCGTCCTATTTAGGACTAGTAATACGAGAATGCCCTCATTTAATGTTGACATCCTTTCTGAGACTCTAACTTGTTACCTTTCCCTTCGAACGCTCAAAGCTTTATCTATCCATTGAGCTATTGAGTCTAGATATATTCTATATTTTCCAACAGGTTTGACAATTATGTCATCAATAGTAAGGGTTTTTACTGTCTCGTTATTCCGGACTGAATTTTGATCACTTTATTGGCGTATATGCATCATGTGTATATCCTGTGATATAGTTATTAAATTACAGATTATTCAGAATTCTATTCATGTTTGAAAAAACCAGAAATTTGTTTCGTGACCCAGTTGTTAAAATGCAACAAGTATGTTTCAAATTCAAATAAACATCCTATAGTATAGGGTTGTGGAGATTGCTGAGTTTTGATTGAGATCATGGATTGATCAATGTTAGACCACCATTTAAAACCTCGAAGCCCGGTACTGCCGTTTCTTATTATTATGGTACTCCTCGGCAGCGCGCACCCACGCTCCCGCACGCAGTATTCTAACCCAGGTTCCTAGGTCTCGCGTGCGAATACAGTTGCTCACTGAAGACAGTTGAAGATGGTCGTGCAATATCGTGCATTCGTCGATGTTAGACATCTGTTGGACGCCGGCTCAGTGGTCTAGAGGTTAAACGTTCGTGCTGGAAACCATAGGTCCTGGGTTCGAATACTGCGTACAGGATCATGGATGTGCACTGTTGAGGTGTACCGTACTAGTACGAAACGGAGATCAAGTGCTCTCAGGTTTTCAGTGGTGATCTAATGTTGATCGATTCACGTTCTCACTCAAAACATTCCACAATTTATCGTTTACATCAAATTTACTAAAGGGAGTAGTAAATCAAAGTAATGAACGTGTTTAGTGCTTTTTTTCCATTGACATTATGAATTCTGCTATGTTTTCATTGAAAAGCTTTTAGAATCTGTTGAGAAACATACAAACGAATCACAGTGATAAGAAATTCATCCATCTGATATTTGTATGATTGACCAAGTTCAGATCAACATAAATTCCGTAGAACCAATCAAGAATATATTTATTTGAATCTAAATTAGGATAAAATATTGAATAAAGTCTTTTTGTTATGGGAAAATGAAAAAAAACACTAACATAGTAGCCAAAGACGATTGTTTAACCAAACAATATGCAAAATATCATTATTGGTAGTTGAACTATAGTTCTTTTCTGAAAATGATTATAATATTTCAATATAATTCTCAATTCCCTTATTCAGATTTCTAGTCAGGAAGAATTTTGTTTCTTTGTGTACTTTCTATTTTCCATTTCAACTAGAAGAAATTGAGTGTTTATGTATATGAATGGACAATAGATTTTTGTTCGCTTTCAATTTCCTGAAAAGTTGTTTTGGTATTTTGAAATTGTTGGATATAAGGAAGCCCTAAATATCTCGTTCTCTAGATATGTAACATTGACTATTTTTAACTTTAAAGGATTTTCGCTTCCTGTTTGTCGGTGTTGTAACATGACATGAGTATAGCAATGTTGCTTGTTTTATGTAAAATAGTAGTAGATTTTCACCTGATTTCTTTCGAATTCATTCCAAAAATACTACTTCCTTCTGAGTTCATGCAAATCTCTGTCTAGTAATATTCTGCCTTTAAAAAAGACGCTACATTTATTGTAAGGCCATCTCCACTGATGTTATTGAATTATACCTTCTATATGTTTGTTATTGACTGAAGTCGGGAAGACATACTTTTGGATTACAAATCACTTATCTAAAAGCGTAACATGCTCCCTGGGAAACCTGAAAGACATAACTTCCATCTCTGGTTGGCTCATAAGTACAAACTGTTAATAAGTCACATAAGAAAACACAATCACTTTACAGTGCTCCAGCACTTTTCAATGGTGTTCTAACTAGTATCAATCATTAACTAGTTCCACTTACTTATTGCTTTTCAAAAAGTTCTTTTTTATGAGGAAACAGTTTTTCGTAGTTAATACTAAGAGGTATTTGTAGATAATACCATAATCCAAATATCTTTTTTAAGTTAAAGTGAAATATTGGTTTCAAATGGTTTAGAAACGATTACCCTTAATTTATTAATTCTCGGTTATTAGGTTTCATAATTTTTAATTGTATAGTCTGTCTTGGAAAAATTTATACTCTATCTGATTATTCCTTGTATAAAAAATATCAAAAGAATCATCAATTGAATGTTTATTTATAATGTTTTCTCTTTTAATAGAGTTTAGAAATTAAACATTTCTCTAGTTAATGGTACATTTGAAATATTCCCATATTGTAAATTTAGAACAATATATGTAAGCGAACAAGATTGTTTTCGATTAGATCCTCATCAGGTTTTACTCCAATATATAGTAATATTTATATGTATATACGAAGTTATTAAACCGATCAAGGTAGTTAATGAATCAATGATAACAATGGAAAAGATTACATAATAAGTGAAAAGTACAAATTGATAGTGTGGTGACAAGTGTACTAGTTTTGATAAAAATAATAAAGGCTTAAATCAATGTTACATAATCAGAAATAAGTCAATGATTAGAAAAATATAGTGAGATAACATTTATAAAAATCATAAGATTACGTAATAAGAAGTGTCACCACACTATCAATTTGTACTTTTCACTTATTATGTAATCTTTTCCATTGTTATCATTGATTCATAAACTACCTTGATCGGTTTAATAATTTCGTATATACATATAAATATTACTGTATATTGGAGTAAAGCCTGATGAGGATCTAATCGAAAACAATATTGTTCGCTTATATATATATATATATCCACAAGTTAGTGGATCAACGTTTAGGTGATGCAGTATCATGGTAACCGGTGAACAACAATATATTGTTCTAAATGGTACATATCTCAAATATTCTCGGATTTTCGATTCCACATATTTAAAACAATCTTTTAGCCAGTTTTGGTTGAAATCTTTGATCGGTGTAATAATTGATCTGTCATTCATATAAAGAGGTTTTGATGTATGAAAGAAAAAATACATCCATGAACAGGTCTCTTTTCAAATTGACTAATATTACGCTAATTATTTGTTTTATTTGATCCCTGATTATTTTGTATCATCGTTTTGTCTAAATTGTTTATTAATGATCTGTAAATAACACCTTATTTTATCTATAAAATGTCTATTTTGTTTTTGTTTTGTTTTTTTTTTACATTGTTTATCAAAAGTTCGAAATAATGGATAATCCATACTGCTAATACACTAATCGATATGAATAAATAAAACTTGTTTTCTCCAAGATACAGTAACTTGAAAGCCAATAAATATTTAAACATAAATATGAGTATATACAGCTTGATAATCACGTGTAGATTTTTAGACTAAGCTTCGTTTGATTCATCTTTTAGAAAGCAATGGTGATACTCAATTGACCACAGCATAAAATATACAGTGTATATATTTATTTGATTAGACTATTTTAATAACAAAGTTAGAATTACTAGGTCATTCGTATCACAAAGCACTGGTTTAACGATATCCTTTTCATATCTTTATTTATTTATTTAAACACATAAACATTGGTACAAAGAGACACCAGATATATATGCGCCACGCAAATCATTCGGTTTGTGTGAGAGCTGGATACTGTCCGGATGTTCAAACCGAAGCAGGTGGTTTCCTTAGGGGGCCACACACCGAGCGTTTGAAGTAGAGTTCAAATCCACAAGTCAGTGGATCAACGTTAGGTGATGCAGTCCCATGGTAACCGGTGAATAACAATAGGTTCACACTTTGTTTGTTCCTTCAGGATACTGGAACCCATGTACACCATCAAGGCTTTCCAACTCCCCTAGGTGGACTCTCCATGTCCACTTATCCAGTTAAAGCGCCGGACGTTCACTTTTCGTTCTCTCAGTTTCGTAAACAACAGTGGTGACGCGAGAAGGTAGTGAGTAGGACTTCTCTGGCAATGTTTGTATGCAAGTGGCCATGTGAGAGCATTTCGAGAGGGAGAGTGGACTCTCCCCACCCTCAGCTGTATAAAATTTGCTGCTTATTTATAAGCGAAATTAAAAACCTTAGTGTGAGTACAAGAATTATGTTAAAAATAAAACGCTTTAGTTCCTATCATTATAGTTCATATATGGGGTCTAGTGTTAGATAGAAAAAAAAAGCAGCGAGAGGTGAGAACCTGAATTTTAATAAAATGAATAAAAGTTCGATGTGCATATTCCAAAAGCCTACTGTGGACATGATAAATTCAAGCATTTCTTTTATCTGGGACAAATGACCATCGAAAATTCCTTTTATCTTTCGAGTCATCATGTAATACGTAGTCTCACTCCCATTTCAAAATGCTTTTCATGGTATTCATTCTGTCTTGGCTATTACTTAGGTCTGCTGTAACCGTTCTGATTAGAGACAGTGGCTGGTATTCTTTACTAGAACATTGAGATATATTCTTATCTGTAATAAAATGCTAATAAATTATAGGGTCTTTTTTAAAGAACATTTTATTTTTATAAGGTTGCTTGTTATGTAAGAAATTATCATTCTGATTAACCATTCTATTTAATAGTAAGATCTAAATTCAAATCCATTAATTTGATATCTTTCAACACTTTAAGTTACTCAAGAAGTAAATATCAAAGTATCTGTATCTGATATCTGATGTAGACAAATGAGAAGGTTAGTGGATGCCAATCATAAGTGAACTGAAGGACAATTGAATTTCATTGGCTCAAAAATAGATTGATTTCCTAAGAGGTAGAGTTGTACATATATATAAATGAGTATTTGTGCATTTGATTTGGTAGCCCAATATACTCGCTCTTGTGTTATCGCCCAAGTAGTTAGTTGGGAGTTAGCACTTAGCATGTCGTTTATCAGTATCAGATTTTGGACACTGCCCGTCATAACATTTAGATAGTGTTTTTTCGCATACTGACTGTATTTAAAGCTACTATGGAAAATATAAGTGATCGTCTTAAATTCATACTTCGATATCACTCAACGTACTCATTTATTCGTTTTTTCTGCAATGATTTTTATGGTACCGTGATAACCTAATTAGAAATCGACAGTATAGACGTATATTTATTCATAAAATATATTTTTATAAATTTTCCTTCTATTTTCTTCATTTTTTGTTGGGATAAAAACACATATTAGAACAGACAGTGGAGAAATTTGGCGGCAAGTTTTGGAATTTTATTTTGTTTAAACATTTTGTTTGTGTGTGTATGTTTCATTGGCCCTATTGCGTTAAACCTTTGATATGTTTTTTTCTCACTGAATAATAAACTAATATATAAAGTTTCTGTTATATATACATGTTTTGTTTGTGTTTCAAAGAAGTGTATTTTGTATATTGGTTTGTTGAGTTAATTAAATTTATCTCACTTCAATAACAACAAATCCTGGGCATCTTTTGTTTATGTTCGTGCACATAATTTTCTGTGTGTTTTGAGTGTTTTTTTTACGTTTACTGACGAGAAATTAATTTTTATTCCATTTATGCCTCGTTTTTATTTTGTGGGGATTTTATGTATCGGTTTTTACGTACAATGTTACTATGGCTTCTTTTTTGGTGTATACTGAAGATCTTAAAGTGTTTTTTATTTGTGTATATTACTTTATTTAATCGGATAAGTTTTATAAAATATTTAAAGAAAATGTTATTCTTGTGTGAACTTTTCATTTGTCTGAAGACGAGAATACCTGTATTTCTAACCACTTAAACAAGAACTTAAATGAGTAAACTTAATGGTTTTGAGTTCAAGTGCTCTCAGTGAATATTGACGATCATATGTTTTATTTTTAGTGGAGTTATGGATGTGTACCGCTGAGAAGTCCCATACCTTTTTTATACGGCTGTTTAATGATCCTTGGTTCTCAGTTGTTCTGTAGTCAAGTTCGTTAATATAAACCACAGATCAAATAATATTTAGGAAAACTCATATATTCAGACTAAAGTGATTAATCTCATACTAATATGGTTTATTTGATCAGTGAGCTACACATTTATTTGACACTTGTTTCCATTCAGAGACAAAGTTAAACTAATTTAAATTTCCAACACAACCGAAAATATGTAGTCCTGTGAAAAGTACAACATACTTTGATGTTCTAATGGGACGAGATTGATAGTTTCTTTATGTTATTATGGAATGCTTTAGAAAAACTAATATTTCTAGGGTATATCAACTAGTTTCTTTCCACAGGTGATCAATAAAATTGATTAACAAGCTTATACTTCGCAGAGTGGATTGATCGTAAAATTTATATAAGTATGAAATTTCCATAAATAGTCTTCATTCTGAAATAAATATAGAACATGCTATTCCAATAGCTATCTTCAATTATAAAGTCAGTTGACAGTGGACTTTGCCTTTCATAGTAGATTATCGAATATTTCAAAAAGGATTACAATAATCTAAAACTGCTCAAAAGATTATGCAATCGTTGTTGGAGTTGTCTAAAACTTTTGAATTTTTCAAAGCCTAATTTATGATGCTATTGACGCTTTAGTTGAGGTAATCAGTTAAAAATACAAACTGTGTGGTCTGTTTGATTTGGTCCATCGTTTTTATCCCCTTCAAAGTAGTGTCCCTTTCTGGTTAGTAATTTGTCGAATCTTCATTTTCATTGTTTAAAAGATTCTTGGAAATTCTCAGAAGTCTATCTCGTCAGCTGCTTTGTTTCACGATTTTGTAGAATTACGTGCACTGACAATTTTCACAGGATACCACACTTATTCTATGTTTTCATCACCACAAGTGGTCGACATTTTTTCTGTTGCTGAATCATCCTTATAGTCTGTACGGTTGTCAATGAAACGTTTGATCCACTCTCACTCAAAGGAAGTAGGCAGTCTCTTACCCTTAACATCCACCACAGATATCGAATTTAATTCCTGTTCTATATTTAATGATATTAAAGTGTAGGCCATCTAGATACATAGTAAGGTCTCTGGAATCATCATTTATCTGTCTGCAGTCCCCCATCACTGTCTCAAATGCCCTACTTTCCATCTTTAATAGTCTGTCAAGCCTCTACGGGAAGATCTTCTTTTACCTCAGTATAACCTTTGGATGATGATAAAAATTCACAACATTTAATTACACTAGCATTTACATCAACTCACCTTTTCATCTGCGTAAACTTAATTTATTCGAATGGCAATACCTCTAACTCTCTAGTGACGTTTGGGTAATCGATAGGATCTTTATTGAGTCATTTAAGAATACGTTCAGGAAGTTTAAAAAGCGATTTATCAAACTAACTACCGAATTCAATCTACTCCATTCTTATTAAGGAAAACTTTAGGGATACCAGTGCTAACATTATAAACATTATCCTGACTCACTGAGGTTGGGTGTATTCACCCACTTGTTGTAACAGCCCCGGTATTCGGTTTATTAATATCCAAATCTAGCAAAATAGTTAATTTTGTATCTGGAAGTGTAATTATTTGCCCCAATACTGAAACTGTGGTCGTTAATTAGCCTAAACTTAGGTTTAAATGTGCAATATAAATCACACATTATGGAGATCATATAATTTACCAACAAGCCATTTTTTTCTACTTATGATAGCCATCTAATTGTTGTGTATTTGTTAGAAAAGTAGTTTCTTTTAAATTTTAAGCACATCTTTCCTTAATCATATATATACTATTCCGTAACATTATGTTACATATGTTTCTTTATTCTGGTAATCAATTTTTTCGCTTGTCATTATTACTCAATATTAAAACATTACATGTAGTACTTATTTCCGTCTCTTGGAAAGAATTGATGTCTTATACATTTTTAATGTGAAAAAATCTCAATGACAACTGTGGTTGGAAGAAGTGACTTACTGAAATAATCTATTTTTTATAACCTACAAAAAGCTATCTGTTATGTTATGAATTGACAATTTACTTACTTATCTGTATATCCAATATAATTTGATGTTTCTTACTAAAACTATTGACAGTGTACTTTCTTGTCTTTTTCTCTTCAGGTTTCTACTTCTCCTTTTACCTATTTTGACCACTGAAAATTTGCTAGTGATCTTCTAACGTCTTTTCTGTTTCTGTTGTTTTTCACTTTTCATCGGTATTTTAATTGTACTTCTGTGGTGTTTTTTAGTGTTAATAACTGCTACTTTCTAATAAAGTATCATTTACTTTGTAAGGTGCCCTTTCAATGAACTGATATATGTTGGATAACTAAATAAAACTGAATTATTGGTTTACTTTTCCTCTCTAGTTTTGTAACTTCTCAATAGTTCTTACACACGATCCTTCATTTGTATGATCTTATGACGAGTTTGTCATTCATTAATCAATTTATTGGAATTTTTGCAGTAAATCAGCCAACCAGTGGTTTCGGATTTTTAATAATTTTTGACGAAAACTACTTATAACTTGCTTTCACGAAAAGTTACTTATAATCAAATGGATGAACAATACTCCATATCTGTCTTCATTATTATCATATTTATTATAAGGCAATTTGTCGTAAATAATTTGAGTATTTAATATACACGGAATGAGGGATCCATTCTTTGTTACTGATGTTTATGCAAATGAAAGAAAGCGTTTACAGAAAAAGAATTTTTAGCTGCCATTGTCATTTTGGTTTGCTTTTTAAACTTGAAATACCCGGTTGTTCTCTTCACTTTTCACAAGTGTTTACTAAATTGATCTTAACTTAGATTACAGCTAACTATTATCATGAAGATTACGCTTTAATTCTTTAAGGGATTTTTTCAACGTATTTTCATTCTGTAGTCATTCGAATTAAATTAATTACATAAATCTGTTTCTTCATTTATTTGTTTATTTTGTTTTGTTTCTTCTCATTTCTGAATAATAGATTACAACAGATTTAAATCACACTTGTACTGATAATCATTCTGGTACATCGGCCAGTGCACCATTAGCTGCTGGTATATGCGCTCTCACCTTGTCAGCCAATCCTAATTTAACTTGGAGAGATTTACAATATTTAGTTGTTTATACAGCACGTCCAGATGGTTTATATGCAGATGATTGGCATGTGAATGGTGTTGGTCGACGTGTATCACATGCATTCGGGTAAATATTTTCTTTCAATTTCTATTTTCTCGATGATTAACTCGATTCGAAATTCTCTTTGTTTTATAGACTTTTTATTATTACTACTTTATCATCAGTAGTGATTGTTTTCTTTTAGCAATATTATATTGGCTAGTAATTTGAATCTATCTATTTCTAAAAAGAATCTATTTCAAATTGATTAGCTCAATGGTAATACCTTTCAATGCGGTCGTATTCTAATTAGGCAGAAAATATTAAAAACTGGCAAAACAGTGTATTGTCCTTAATTGCGCTTAGAAATTTATGTAGGGAAGGAAATTATGATAACATTAGGAGTATACTGTAGGTATATAACGAAAATAGACCTAGGTAACTCGGAAAAGCATAAATAAAGTAGGTTGTTCACTTACAATAGGACGTACGTATATAATTATCTATTAGTAAACCAATATACATCATTAGGTGACTTGACTTCTCAATTTGGTAAGTTAAATTGAAAACAAATTATTAATAGGAACTTAGATTACTCACAACTACCAATAGATAACTAAGTTTCCTCTGACTAAAAGCGATACAAGTTATTTTCTTGAACATCGAAGACTGGAAAATGTAAATTTCTTGCCGTCTAAAAACAGATAACTTGTGCTGACAGAATATTTCACCTTTATTGACTGCTTTTACACTGTTAGCTGGTCAGAATTGGTCAAATTCTTACTACTGTTTTGACCAATTAACTATATGTCGTAAGGTCAAAATGTCGCAGTTAAATAATATTTTCTAATGAGTCACACACTTGACCCCTTACCTAACACTAGGAATGCCTAAAATATTTCTAGAGTTTATTCATAATTCCTAAATAATAATCTTTCAACTGTAAAACCTTATTTGATTTTTGAACACTGATTTTTTTGTTTAACCCGGCACGTTATAAGTAATAATTCCCATGAATATTTTTCAGTAATATTCGGGATTTTAACCAGCAATATAAACTAGACTTCAACTGATATTATTTTCGATAATAATTCAATATTATTCTTTTACTTAAACGTCTGTAGATCTAAATGCACGATTTGTTTATTAATCTTGGGGATTGTATATTACAGTTTCCTGTAGTTATTATTGAATAGCTAACAGGATGATATTCTTCCATGTCACAACAACCATTAAATATAAAATTTTATTATATAATAATTCCTTGCCACAATATCAAATATGACAAATATGCACTGTATCTTTTTGCATTCTGTATGCGTATGTCTACATTCATTAACAAGACATTTTCTATATGGATTCTCCTAGAGTTTTTTTTCTTATGTAAGGTGGTACAGCTAACAATGAAAACTACAGAAAAATAGATAAACACAAAACTGCAGATTACAAATAAAAAATAATTGTTACTAAGATAAAGCTAAAAAATAACTTTTCAAATTCAGTTCATGGAATGCTATTTTGATTTAGAGTGAAGATTATCATTTATTCATTTTTTATCATACGTACTATCATAGTTTCAGTTTTAATGATGAGGTAGGTTGTGTTGATTTTTTCTGTTGGGCTCACCAGTTTGTAAGCTTATCCAACTCCAATTATTCTAGATCTTATTTTAATATATTTTCTAGACCCAACCCATTGTGTAATCAGATTAAATTGACATTGCGATCTTAAAATTCGATTGAGAAAAGATACATTCCAGACAAATGAACCCAATAGACCACATGTTTAGACTACACAGGTTGAGGGACTGTGAATTGGATGCTGTTGATTGATGTAGTGATCAACTGTTGTATAATTTGTTGTGGTAATTTATGTAACTCAAGAAATAATATGGTCATAAAGACACAGAAGCAGTCACACCTATATATAAGAGTGGATATAGGTAAAGGTTATTAATTAGTCAAATGCTAAATAATTAATAAGATTAAAATGACACTAACCACTCGTTGTTCGACTTTAAACAAATTCAAAAAACAATAAGCCTGAGTGATTATATGATCTAGGTGAATAATATGAGACTGCAAAACCTTGAGAAGTTTATTTCATCACTACAAATCAAATACATTTTCTTACGATATACAAAAATCAAAATGTTTTACCAGGCTAGGAGAAAAAGGAATTTGGTTTTCCTTGTTAATAGGGAGGTCTTTTTATTATTTACATATCTATGGCTTTCACTTAAAATCCTCTATTGGTTGAGATTGTGAAGTTCATGGTGTTGTTTCTCCTAATTTCTATGTAGTGTTATTTTCCACTGAAGTGTATACATTTTCCGATAAAACATCTTTTCAATATATATATATATATATATATATGGTTGTAACGTCAGCCAAAGCTCAAACAGAATAGCTCGAGATAAACCAATTCACTGTGTTGCAATTCTTTCGTACTTTGTAAGAGTGAACCAATAAATGATATGATATAACAAGAGAAGACAATTGTACCAGAATAGGGTTTGTTATTGGAGAAATAGGACAGCGGAAATAATGTACGGACTTAAATTTATGACACTAATTTTCACTTTATTGTAAACCTCTTCTAGAGAGCTTATGGTGTATGATATGACTGTAGACATCAACGCCTCATGCTTGTAAGTAGGTTTTGACATAATTCATAACAAACGCTAATTGAATACCATGGAAAATCAAGTTTCACATAGCAGAAAGTAAATTTGCCTTCATTTAAACTGGTTTAGATAATATCAGTTAACAGCATTTTCATAAGATTTTAATCACCTCAGTTGGTTTCTATTTTAATATACTCTAGGCAAATTGACTCTGTCATTTATTTGTTATATTCTGTTATGAAAATAGTTTTTATTATAGTTGTGTATGTTTACTCGTGTTTGTTTGCATGCATCTTCAAATTTCTATGTTATTCACAGTATTGTTTAAATATTTAGTTATATAATTCTTCGTTTTCTCTCTCTCGGTTGTCATTTTTTATTATTTCTGTTCTTTTTTGTTCTCTATTGTTTATCTCTTCATTATTAAAATTATTACATACATTTTTTCTTGTACTGATTTATCTCTGATTTGTTTGGTTCCATTTCTTTCATGTAAAAAAAAGGAAATAATCATGTTTATGTATTATGTAACTTATCACATTATATAAATATATGAATTATAATTTCTATTTCTGGATAAACGAATAAATATCAATACTAATGTTGCAAATGTATTCGATATTACCAATATGTCTCTCCTTAAATCTTTACTTATACATGTATACTAAATAAGGTAATATATATGGAACCGCCAATTCATTACTGACAGTGTTCACTCACATCGCAATAAAGGAATATAATATCGATAGACTATTTAGTTGAAATTGAATACCTTATATTTTTGACTTTAGTATATCTACGTTATATTGCATACGATATCCAATTTTGTCAGCGAGTTATTCGTTGAATTGGTTAACTCTACTGATTCTTCTAACTAGAATTTTGGGACATTCATAATAATCAACACAACTGGACAAACAAATAATAGTAAACCTTCATAGAACTGGATAACCTATTCACTTCAGTAGTTAGAATTAACATTTCTTATATTTAAATATAAATGGGAGAATAGAATAATGGAGTTTTATGAAGTATGAAACTACATGATAAAATATATAATTAAATGTATGTTGACTCCAATAAATCATTCGCAAGGGGTTCATATTACCCCGTTACTTATAGTTATGACTAAATTTTGACCAATTTTTGTTGACATATGTGTATCTTTAGTTGATTGTCTGTATATGAAATATCTGCCATGAACTCGACCTTCGGGGATCACTGGCTTAATGAAAAACGAACTTGCTTTTGAAGTGATAGGTACTAGGCTGGATTCTCGGAATGAATATCAACACTTGGATATAGGATAAGTACAGGTACTAAATCCCGAATCGGTCAAAATTTACTTCTTGAACTCCTTTGCTACGACCTTAACTACGACCTAAATATGTACTGAATTAAGTTAACGCTAATTTTCAGTTTATAACTTTGCAGACACCTTATGTTTTGCGAAAATCTATTGTGTAATATATCAATAGAATGAATACTGTTGATCTTCCCCATTAATTTTTTTTAGGTTGTGTCACAATTGTCTTGTCATTAGACATGTTATAAATGGTAATTCTCCTATGATATCTTGCTTGTTTCTTCACTAACTATTCAACTGGCACACTTAGCTAATTTTTAGATATCCACATAAACTATTAAGCTGAACAGCTGAACAGTTCTAGTTTAAAAAGAAAAACGTACTTAGGAATCTCTGTGTGTCGAATGATATTTTAATTAATGTATATTTACAATTATCCGGCATTGTTCAAATGGTGTATATGTGGACAATGATCTTCGGCTAGGTCAAAACACCTACCATACATTATGTCTTGTTCACCCTAAAGTCATATCTTGCAACCTAGGCACATCATATAACTTGATAATTTGTTTCTGATTCAGACTGTATTATTTAACGAAAGAAGTGAGTTAGGATAACATTAGTGAAGTTTTGGTACAAAAAGCTGTGAAACATTTTCACCATAGGTCAATAGTAATGCAGAGGAATGTTAACCTAAATGTAATCATCAATAACCCTTTATTAAACCGAAAGTTGTTAAAAAGCAGGAAATTTATAGAGAGGTATTGCTGTCTACTTTCGAAAGTCCTCACCTGTATATTTAAGATAGAACTGATAATATGCAGACTGCATATGGAACTCAATACTAGTTAGTCACTTTTTAGATAATAGGAAATTGTTTTTCAGTGCTTACTGTTCTTCAACAGTTCTCCAGTTGACGTCAGTGTACAAGGAAGATTCCTCAGAAACATTACTTTCACCCATTTTCTCTTGAACAAAGTATTTAGGTGTAATTTTAAACTTGCTGTGGTACTGTATCATTTGCATAGTGACATGTTTAGGTTACACGTGTGTTATTTCATTTTATTTTACTTTACCTTCACAACTATCATCAACTAATAATTGTCCCCATAAAGTGAACGAGAGTTACAAAAAGGTAAATAGAAGATTGCATTCAAGCTACAAACAGCTAAGATAATCTTTTTATTACTCGGCAGGTATTTGTTAAGCAGTGACTAATGATGAAATGCAAATTAACTAATTCGTCAGTTGAATAGGACTGTGTCGAACATTGTATTTAATCGACAGACTTGATCTCATGGTGCGCTCCTTGGAAATACTTTGAGGAAAGTATTACCAAAATGTTCTTTCTTTGAATTATTGTATCACACTTGACCTTAAATTTGTAACCCTGGATAAAGAATTCATTTCAGTCATCACTATTTTTTTCCAATTAGTCAAAAATGTACAGTGAACACATTCAATTATTTCTTAAATAGTTTCTCATCTTTGTTTTTTTTTCATTGTTTTTTTCTTAAAAATGCTAACAATTTGTCCACAGTGAATTTTATCTTGTCACTATACTGTCTGCTTTTTGTTTTAACTTTCCGTTAACTTATTTTCCTCATTCACTTTCGTTTTCATCCCCTCAGATTGACATCAGGCATTAAATCGGTTGAAAATAAAAATTAATTTTTCTTGCTAATTATTCATGAACAATTCTGGTAAGAGATGTTCGCTTAAATCAGATGCTTTTCTTCTCCTACACATTAATTTTCTTCTCTTTCAATTATTACTTAATATAAAAATTTATGGCTTTTTTTAAACTTCATTTAGTATTAACATAAACTTATTTATTACCTCATTTGTTTCTGTCTTCTTCCATCCACCGTATTTTCATATCTTTTTAATTTCAACATTCTTTTTATCTTCACTATCATTTAACTGATGAAATCTATTCTTTTGTGTTTAATTTTATGTATAAATAACAAGACTATTTACGTTTCTATGAAATAAAAACAATAAACGATACAATATTATCTTGTATGATCTCAAAGATTGTCAAACATACTTATCCGGTGTTAAATAGTTGATAATTAGCAGTATTTATGAAGATGTTTTGTTAGTTATTTTTTTACAAAAAGCAACTAACTTGTTCGTTTTTTTCAAATGATTTTATGATAAACTCATGAATACCTTTATCATTTTAACAAAAATTATATCAAACATTCTATAATCTAAATATGTATTCACTCAATCATTTTCTATGTCCTATTGTATGTGTTAATAGTTTTCACTAAATCATCTTTCATAATGAAAATGAGCGAAGGATTTCTTCCGGTTAACTCTTAGACTTTACAATGTCATCGTCTATTGGCGTCTGTTTATTTAGAAGAAAATAAAGGGTTTTTTAAGAAAAAGTTGTTTTTCATGGTATAAAATGTTTAATTAGTTGAATCCCTATTTTTTCTACTTATGTGTTTGATTTTTAGGCGACAGCTTTATTTTTATTCTCTTCCAATTGTATAATTTTTATTACTTGCTAAATGTCTTTATGTAAGAAGAAAGACTGGAATTGAAGAAACTGTTCATCAATTATCTAATAATAAACAATATACTAACAACGATAACAGGAATGTATTGAATAGATCGTTTCTTAGTTGAGTTGTATAAGAAGAATATGAAATAGCATTGTTATTATGTCATAATGGCGACGTGTTTTTTTTCATGAATAAATGAAATTAGAATAATTGGAAAATTTTTAAATCAATGTTTTTGTATTTATTAGAAAGATACAACAGTCATAAACCAGTACTGCTATTCAATATTCATAGTGGTTAGAAGTAATAAATTGAATAATTTCATTTTGTAGAGGGATTTCATTTATTTCACTGATAGCTATCATCATGAGTGATAGTGTTATAAGAATTGAAAATCCTGAGGTCGAACACATACCCAATCATTGCGAAAGGAGTCACAGACTAAAAGAATATCTAATATTTCCTAGTTCTCAATAGTTCACCAGGTGATATCATCTAGCAATGGGCACCACTCTTAAAATATTCAATATTGAATGGTATGCTTGAACGTTTATTATTGTACACAAAGTGAAAGCTAGGGAGAATTATGGCCTCTTTCTCTATCCAATACGTATCTGTCTTCTCCATCATCTCAAAATCTATCATAAATATAATCCGTGATTAAAATACTTCTAAATATCAAAGTCAGCCTTGAGTTTGTCCATATTAGTTTATTTATTTAAACACATAAACATGGTTAATACAAGGAGGGACCAAATATATTTGCGCCACACTTCATTATTCGGTTTGTATGAAAGCTGAAATACTGTCCGGGCTCCCAAACCGAAGTAGGTGGTTTTCTTGTGAAGCCACTCCTCGGGCCTTTGACCTAGAGGTCTAGTCTACAGGGCGGTGGAGCAACGTTAGGAGATGCAGTCCCATGGTAGCCGATGACCGATAATTGGTTCATACGCCATTTGTTCCTTCAGGATCTTTGAGCCTATGTACACCATTTGTTTGTAATCAGGGGTTTATAACTCTCCTAGTTGGTTCCTCTATATCCACCAACCTAGTTAAAGTTCCGGAAATTCGTTTTTCGTCCTCTCAATTTCGTAAACAACAGCGGTGCCGCGAGAAGTCAGTGAGTAGGACTTTCTTGACAGTAGATGTATACGTGTAACCAAGTGAGTACGTTTCGAGAGGGAGAGCGGACTCTTCCCCACCCTAGGCCGCACTAGGGCATTTGTTCACAAGTTACGCGCGAATTATTTAAATACAACTGAAATTGTGATTTTCATAAGGAAAACATTTTGTAATTACTTGGTAATATATTGTATTGGAACACTCAACATTGACTTCATTTTCGTTCTAGTCCCAAAAATATCTGTATTTGAACCTCACGTCGAAGGCAAAGGGCTGTAATTCTAAAATACAACCTTACTTCCATGGTTATTTCGGGTGCGGAAAAAGAGAATAACTATAGATATGTGTATTGTCTAGATATTCTAGAAGCGTCGAACAAATAATCTATTGTCGTTTTAGAACTCTGAGAAGCTTCTATTGATTATTAATTGAATTCTACATCGTGGCTTATTTTCTGTTTTTGGGACTGGTTAGAAAAAGTGGAGAGGCGGTCAGCGTATGACATAATGTCATGGCATAAATGAACTCTATACGGGACTGGCTTTTTTTAGACCTTCATGACTCCTTGGGTGGGGTCCTGAAGATAGTACAACACAGTGGCTTGAGGCGTTATCAAACATGGCTCTGAATAGAAACCAATGGCTATCGTGCTGTAACTTTCTTCATCAAAGTGAACGTAACCTCTTTAACTGGAAGAATTCTTTCTGGTTGTATTCTTCTTAACTGAACTGCTATCATCATCATTTCTTCTACTCTTATTTAGTTATTTTTAATCGTTTGTTATTTTTTGTTATATTCACCTTCCGTTCTCCACTCCTTGGGAATAGCATTTTCTTATTGTGTGGCGCATATGCATTTCGATAACCCTTTGTACTAATATTTATGTATATAAGTGACGTAAAATTTGCTTTACTTCTACCGGTATTTTTTTTTCAGAAACCAGTTGGTTAATGCATCTGAAAATTTTTCATTGAATCTTAACGGTACAACTTTCCTAGTTCAGTTTTTCCATATACTACTGATATTCTTTTTAATCTACCTTTTGTAGTCATAAGTTGTATTAATTATACTTTTTTTAAATTTTCAATTATCAATCATTATTAGTTATGGTTTAATGGATGCCGCCGCTATGGTTGATTTAGCTTTGAATTGGACTAATGTACCACCACAACGTGTATGCGAAGCTCAAGCTCCAATGACCGGTGATCCAATTACTATAAGACAAATGTCTAAAGAAAATTTAGCTTTAACTACTGATGGTTGTGAATCAGCCGCAGCTCTTGCAGGTGATCTATCACATCGTGTTGTACATTTGGAACATGTACAAGCTAAAGTAAGTATTAATTGATTTTGTGGTATTTAGCTTCATCTTTTTAACTATTTAAAACAATTAGTCCCTTTGATAAATTTCGATAATGCAATAAGAAGACATAGTTTATCAGAATTATGTGATATATTTGCGCAATACATTTCAAACAATCTGATCACACATATATTAATTATAATCACTCATTTTATCCAACAATATACTTAATTGGGTTTTTGATATTGTGTAATAAAATAATCCTAGTTGAGTTATGTTTTACAGTGACAATATATCTTTATCAGTTGATTGATGTTTAATCAAATTAACTACGATAACTGTATTACATTAGGTTGTGAAAATCGGAAGTAATCTGTTTAAATGTGTTACCACTTTACTGCCTTTCTGATTACTGTAAATATTTATAAAAATGTTTTTGAATTCAATGTTAGTTTACATCACGCATTTGTTTGATTCGTAATGGGGTCATAGGTCTTAGCTACTGATGGGGAAGTTGTAAACTAGGATAAAGTAGCTTTATCAGTCCGGTACAGTTTTCAGTATATTGTAACTCAAGCTGACATCCCACTACACAATAAAAAACCAACTCTAAGTCAAGTTGTCTTCGTAAACTTCCCCTCGTGACTAAATATTTTCCAGCTACTAAATTAATTGATGAACACAACAAAATGGAGAGATTTGCTAATCACTTTACTGAAACTTCAGTGCACCGTTGTTTTTTCCCAACATATTATTCATGAAATCCTTTTGTTAAAACTACTGTCATCTAATAATCTTTTTTATTTTATACTTTTTAAAAGTTGTTAATAACTGTTATGACTTTTTACTGTCTCAGGTTCTTTAACTTGTTATAGGCAATTTTTTACATTACTACTTTAGAAAATGTTGAGTTATATCCCTTTCGTACTTTGTAAATAGAGCATTTTTGTCTTTTGGCTAAGTAAAGGTCTAGTGAGGAAAGTGGACGTCTCGGTATTGACTCATTTAGTGCAAACTATCCACAGCCAATTTTCCTCAATTATTTATCGGGTCAGTAGTTTTTTCCCAAAGTCTTTTAGACGGCATAGGTAATAACCATTCGGATTGAAAAACCGGAGTTGTGTGTACGAAAGGAATATTTTCAAGCGCTTTTCTTACCTTGGCCAACCTCAAAGCCAATTAATCAACAATACTATTAACTACTGAATGACCTAATATGACAAATGTACTTACAACCTATATTAGTCAAATATAAATAGCTTTATTACGTTTATTTACTTATCTTTGTATTACTTTAAGCAATTAGTCCCTTTTGATAAATGTCGGTAGTATAATAAGAAGACGAAGATTATTATTATTATTATTATTATTATTATTATTATTATTATTATTATTATTATTATTATTATTATTGGTTTAATATCACCAATAATCTCCCGAATACATGATTTATCTACTTAGCACTTACCCCATTTTATTATTTCTTACTAATTTCATATAAATTTCTACACAAAAATTTGATCCAATTTACAATTACACTGTTATTTCTCTCACCCTATCTGACCCATATTTATTCTGACCGAGACTCTCATAATTTCATTTAACTGATTCAACTTAACATACCATATAAGTCATATCAACATTAGCAATTTTATTTTATTTCACTATACTAAATTCACATGTTCTGACTCTAAACGATACAGTTTGCCCTAAACATGACCGCTTTTTTGATGATTAATTTGGATACATAATTGTAGAACTTCGTGTTGTATGTTTGTTTGAATCGTCCCATTGATGTTTAGACTTGTAATCGATCAGTTTCTTATTGGTATATGTGTATACTGTGAAGATATATATATATATATATATATATATATATATATATATATATAAGCTTTCACTTTTAAATGATTCTATGTATGACATTTCTTGTGTTTTCCTTCTTTCATAACCGGATTTAAAGATTAATCTCAAAGCCTATGAAATAAATAAGTTTACTTGAAAAATAAAGATTTTCTTGGAACAACTAAACATTCAGAATCATATTTCGATTGATCTAATTGAACTATTTTATTTCAGATTGTTTGTCTATGTCTTTAGTGGTATTGAACAATAATAACTCTCCGTACTATTGTCTAATCTTGTGGTTCTATTGACTGTTAGCAATTTTAATTTTATATTCTATGTTGATATGTACTTTTCAAGGAATTTATGTAATTGTAACTATTCAATATTGTTAAAATTATTTGGATAGCCTAAACTTGTCTATCATTATTTACTTATTGAAGATTAGTGTTAATTCATACAAGTGGTTTTTTTCTTATACACAAAATATCTAAACAAAACATGTTTTCAAAATTTATGAAAAGTTATAAAACTGTATAAGTTTGTCTGTTTAGTAACTTTAATTTGTCTTCAAGTAGTATTGCGTAAATACAAAAGTTTTGGGATGTACTAATGTTTAACACTATTTACTTGAATTATTCTTAAGTTATTCTTGTAAAAATAAAAACTTACTTCAACCTATATAACCCTTTTTTTGCAATAAAATAGTAAATGAAAACACAGACTACTAGTTAACAGCTGTTTCATTTTATTTCCAAGTTTCTTTCGTCTAAAAATTTAAGCACTAGATAACTTGATGTAATGTTGTGTTATAATGCATATGTTGCAAAAGGATGAATCTGTGTAACATTAAAATTTACAAACTAATGGGAATCAGATTTTGAGTTAAACTAGTTTATAAACAGAAGGGGTTTGTGGAGATTTTAGAAATTTCACAGATTGAAATCATGAGTCAATTGAAGCTAGACCACCATGGAAAACCTGAAAGCACTGAACAGCTTCAATTGACTCATGATTTCAATCAGTGAAATTTCTAAAATCTCCACAAACCCCTTCTGATAATAATCATCTGCTCATTAGTGACTGACTTCAAGCGATACTCCTGGATTTATAGTGAGAAGCCGTTACCAGTGGAGTTCAACCATGTCTGTTGTGAGATATCAACTCACTGAAGACAATGGTGTACGGTGGCGCAACTCCGTAGATTGGTTGAAGTTAGACATTAACACCATTGGATGCCGGCTCAGTGGTCTAGTTGGTTAAGCGCCTGGCGCAAGACTAATAGGTCCTGGGTCAAACCTCGCGGGGTGCGGTGTCGTGAATGCGCACTGCTGAGGAGTCCCATACTAGAACGAAACGGCCGTCCAGTGCTTCGAGGTTTTCCATGGTGGTCTAGCTTCAACTGACTCATGATTTCAATCTGTGTAGTTTATAAACTATAAAAAGATGTTATATATGTAATTTTATTCTATACTAATATACATAAGATATTTTTATTTTTCAATGTCTTTTAGAATGACAAATTTTATCCAAAAGTTTATTCATAGAAGTGTACGTTCTTATCTAGACAAATACATAGAACTATTCTATAAATTTTTGTAATTTGTTTTTGGCTTGTTTCATGTTTTTCTCTTGAGTAACAATATTGATAAATATGTTTAAAGCTCGTCTCATCGATTTCTGTAATTTATGGATGACCTTTTGAGCGGAGCTAAAGTGACCTTAAGAATATCCATCTACTTGCTAGGGCTAAATATGGGTTATAAAACAGTGTGAAAAATAAAGATTATGATTTACAGTTGATAGTTAGGGTTATAAATTAAATTTAGGGTTTTCATCACGTATTGATGATATCAGCTAAAATGTCAAAACACTGTCTAAACAAATGCATGAATAAATTTCACTCCAAAATCCAAGACCTGGTAACCCTAAATTTGATTGGCTCGTCTATATATTGTAGTCTCACCTCAAATTCTGTTTCATTTTTCCATTTAGCTTCCTTAAAATTTCTGCAGATCCAACTTATTAATGGAATTTCTATTTATCGAACTGATTGATTTCTGTGGAGTTTTATTCATCATTATAGATATCATCTTGATAGGAAAGTAAAATATTGAGCATTTAATTTATTTCAGTACAATACAACTGTATGGTGAAATCTAATCATATTGAAGTTGCATGTCGAAATTAGACTATAAATGATAACATATAATGCATATTAGTTTCTAATCTACTGTAATCTTTGTGTATTTTAATTTTTTCAAGTAATCTCAAATAATCTGGTAACAATCATTACTATGTTCCATTCTGATGTTGGTATACCTACCAAGATAGGTTTATAACATAGATTAATTTTAATTCATACATTTGTAGTCTATGAATATAAAATATTCATGAATCGTCATTTTGAATCTATTTCTTGTCCTTTTTTAAAACTTTGAATTATAAATTCATTTAATCTGGTGGAGATGAATAATGATGAATATGCTAATGATAAGTGAGTGAATGAGTGGTTAAGTATTTATTGGGTAGACTTATTTTTGTCGAAAAATATCAAACTTTTTACAACTTAGTAAACAGAATTACACTTAGAATGATTTAATTAAGATTTTTCTAATGAATATAATTGAATTTGTTTTGCTTTTTTTATATTTATTTACTAACCTTGTTTCATGTGAAGCATGTTAAATTAAATGTTTGTTTAAAATACACAGTAACTGGCACAATCAAAAGTATATATTGGTCTTAAGAAAAATCACGTTTTTTTGTGTGATTTCATGCTAAAATGGAAAAAGCTTGAATTTGTTGGATAATTTTCAAATCGTAAAGATTTCTATGGGCTGGGATTGATAACCTCGTGCTTTATCCGGGCTTGGGACTGGCAATAACCCTAGAAGGGCTACATGTGGAGTTATGGAGACTATAGGGTCTTTGATTTTTATTTCATATTTGTACTTCGAGATTTTTATTTGTCAATGATCTTAAACTGCTTCCCCTCACTGATTTGGTATATGAAATTATAGGCAAGATAGAAGAAATCTTACTATAGATCTACAATTTCAACATTTAACGGTTGATATTTTCTAAATCTTTTCAATCCACATTGTTAAATGATATTATAAAGACGAATTCGTACTGATTGCCAGTTTCATACCTGTTTATTAGGAATTTATAAGCTCATCTTA